ATATAACCATAAATGAATCCTGTTCTATACTATATGAAAAGTTTTTCTGGGTGGGACTCAGTAATGTTACTGCTAACCATAAATATCTGCACAGCTCCGTATAGCTAAAACGATGGATCTGAACAGCCACAGGTAACACTCAACATTTTCAGTCAGACATCACTTGTCACAGACAGAATGGCGAGCACACGTTGAGAGTAGTGTTTGGAAGTATTTCAAGAGAATTAATTAAATGAATATGCAATGCAAGCTATGTAACGTTAAACTTGCATATCTGCAGTCTGTGCAGCACAAAAAGTAGGCTAACCCTGACCCCCACCTGCATTTTCACTCTGGTGTTTATTTCAGACCCTATCTGTACATTGGATTTTTTTTTCGTTTGGTATTACTTGCTAATATTAAAAACACAGATTTATTGTTCTCTTCACATTATTGCATATTTTCTTCTAAGACAATCGGTTACTATACCAATAATCACAACAATCAGATAATTATAGGTTATCATTATCTGCCCTTAAGTAACATTGGTGCATCTCTAATTAAAACTCCATGCATTAGCTGCTGAACAAGTTTCAAGTCTCTATGAATTGATTTTGATAGCTCCCAAACCAAAATGAACTGATTCCAAGGGGTACCTGTAAGGTAGGAAATAATTCAAAATACTTATTTAAAAAAGACAGCTCCACTTGTATGAATTGTGAAATGGTTGTCAGTGTAAGTTGTAGGCACAAAGCATTTACTAGGCTGACTGTACAAAAGCAAAGGTATGGCCATACAAGACTTATTTTCATATGATTACATTCATCATGTCAAACCAAATACTGGGAACCTTTATGCGACTCACTGAATCTCCTTCTTGCCTCCCTGGATCCACTGCTTCAGCAGGTATTCATAATAACTGTCGGCTCTGGCTCCCAGTGTGTAGATGCCTTGATGGGTGAACTGTCCGTTGTTTGTGTTGATGAACATGGGCACAAGACCATCCAGCTTGCCATCCAGCTTGTGGACCTGCTTCATAACCTCAGCCACTGCAGCCTGGAAACCAAGGTCAGAGGTCAGATGAATTGAGCTGTGGGGACTGTTGTGACATTTTATTTAGTGACTCAAGATAACCTGACAGTAAAAAATTCCTTAATTACAAAGAATTCTCAATGTTGGACCTACACCATCCCGCCCACAGATTTAACAAATTATCTAACTGCAATATAGATTATTTTGAAAAAAACTCTGCACATCTGAATGTATGATGGGTGCATCAAATGGATACAATTTTAAAGACAAAGAGAAGAGCTCCCGCACTCTGTCTCATTTACTGCTGGATTTTTTTTTTATCTTATTATGGTAATGTTTTGGTCCTTCAGACCATCATCAGACATACACAAATGTGTGCAATATAGATTAAAAAATTACAGTGGACACTGAACCACCAAATATAAAGAAATTCTCAGGCTCTGAAATATTTTGATAGGTGTGAATATTGTAAGAATGAGTACCTGACGTTTAGCCAGTTGTGCTTCAGTGCACATTTTGTTCTAAACCAATAAGCACAAAATAATACACAATACACTTCACAATACACCATCTGGGAGCAGCCCTGCTGTTCAGTATGACCCCACCCTAAAAACTTGCAAAAAGTATGTGATGAAAAGGTGAAATAAGTTGTCATCTTTGGGTACGTGTTTTTATTTTCTAAAAAGCTCAAAACAACGGTATTTTCCTGCTCGAAAAAGCCAGTCTGGACTCTCCTCTCCACACAGGGAGCAATGCTTTGCCACCATACAGCTGTGCCACTGAACTTGGCATAGTAATACAGTAATAACCTGTCAGAAGATAATAATTCATCATCACACCCTCCTTTTTATACTCCTCTTATATTCTATATATCATATTCTGTACACTCCACTAAGTGTATTTGATACACCCTGATGTCCAGTCCCTGCTAAAATGTGTTAAATCTTGCAGTTGTAACACAAATTCAACCAATCACAGCTTTGTTTATGTCTCTGCTTTTTTGTCCATTTTTTGCAATATTTCTGGAGAAGGGTCAAACTGAGTCAAAAGAACAGTTGCAAACAGGCAAAAACAAATCCAGGCAGCAGCATCTCCAGGTGGGCTGTACGCTCCTACAAACACAATTGTTAGTATTTGTGGGTAGGAAGCCAGTGAGGGATCAGGTCTTTATGTTTCACTAACATCTCCTACCACTTAGTCAAAGTGCCTGAAGGGATGGGGGATGTGATCTGGAGGTTTATGAGCAAAACCCTGTGCATATCATGCCCTCGTAGTTAAGCTCCTAACTAGAAGGTGAAAAGAAACATCTACTGCAGGATATAATGTTTTATCAATACTGTGATGTGCTTACGCACAATGGTCGCATCACAGGATGTGAGATGTCAAGTAAGGCAAATTCACTCAAACACATCATGCTACAACTTCTTTCTGCTTGATACAAAAGGAAAACTTGAATGGTTCTCATTTTCTATGACGAATGTTACTGGCCAAGCCTTCCTTTTTAAGGCAGGATAGGATAGGACACGGTCTGGTGACTTTTGCTGTGGGAGGTGAGACCCGCCTGCGTGAGTATGTGTAGAAAAGTACCGTAACCAGGCCAGCAAGTGCCACAGACACAGGGAAGCGCGTGAAGCTATAGTAGTCAGAAATTAAGAGTGCCACTCCTGGGTGATGCGTACGAGTTGAAAAAGACACAGTGCATACAATATTAAAAACATTAAGCACACTGCAAAAACCACATGGCACATAATGTAAAAGAGGTAGCTATAAAAGTGCCAGAGTCAATAAATATAAAGTGCCAGAGTCAGCAAAATGCCCAGTCCACAGTAGTTGTTGCACAAAGCCTGGTAGCTATTGCCAAGTAGAAATAAAATATAGTGAGAGAGCCTGCGAGAGTGCACTAAAACTCTTCATTTTGTATGTTGATTGAGAGTGTGAAGCCTCAGGAGAGGAACTTGTTCATGAGTCTAGTGGTCCTTGTTTTTAATGACCTGTAGCGCCTGCCTAAGGGCGAACAGGCAGTGACCAGGGTGAGAGCAGTCTTTAACAATGTTTTGGGCTCTGGAGAAGTAGCATGTGTTTGCAGTCTCTTGGAGTGAGGAAAGTGGGCAGCCAACACTTTTTTGGACTGTGTTAATGACCCTCTGTCAAGCTTTTTTGTCTGCTGCTGAGCAGCCAGCATACCAAACTGTGAGGCAGTATGGTAAAATGCTCTCTGTTGTGGAGTGGTGGAAGGTCACCAGCAGCCTAAGGAAACCAGAGGTCACTCAGCTATGGTTCAGAGCTACAAGGCTGGAAATCACACCAATCACACCAATTATTCTAGGATGATTCATTTTTCCAAACTGAGCTATTCAAACCATCTGGTCAAAGATTCTTGGATTTTTTTTCAGATCATAATGTATATCGCAAAAAAAAAAAAAAAAAAAAGCAATTTTAGTTTTCCTGATATCATGCAGCCCTGGGACCTATGGACTGGAAGTGTTTTGCAGAAAACTGGGAGAAGCAACAGTGTCTGGAAAAAAAAGGTTAAGTGTATGAACCATTGCCTTAGCCAACATAAAATAATCCGAAAATGTCTGCAGCTACTGAAATGCTCAGCCACTTGTATTGAACAATGAACAACGAAACTTTATACAGTAGAACTACTGAAGATTGATTTCTTTTTATAACTATTACATATTATGATGATGTAATCATACTGTGATTATTAGGGAATTATATCTGACTAAGCATGACCGGGTTTGACTGCTGCTGCAACTAGATTTAAGATGCCGTGACTGGATTTTGGCTGTTCCAGTGACCAAAGCTACAGCTGACAGGTAATGTGTTTGAATTGCTAAATGCCCAGAAAGTCTTATGCTAATGGAGCCAGTGTGGTTTGTTTTTACCATTTCCTCTCAAAGCTTGCTTTAAAGGGGACTCCCTCCAGCTCTGTAGGCTAAGACACGTACCATGTTAACAAGACTTCTTGAGTTCAAATGTGGCCCATCTCGTGACCCACGAAATTATTAGCCTGTAGTTGACAGCTAGCCACAGTCCAATGGGAGAGATGACCATGGCTGCTGCAAAGCAACGAGAGCAGCAGCTAATTTCAAACCCAGACAATATCACAGCATACTAGATCAGACTACACAAGAAATTCTCCAACTTTGAAGCCATACTAGCAGCTCTGTGAGGGTGTAAAGCAAATGACATAGTAGAAAACAAAACTACCGGATGGATATAGCAATGGTGAGACAACTTAGCTTCAGCCACCAAACCTCTAAAAATTGTCCGTTTCTTTATGTAGGACTGAAATATTGGCTTGAGTAATAACAATCTTCACGAACTGTGAAGTTCATACTGCGTAACAGTCTTAAAAATAGCACCTGCAGAGGAGAAGTGGTAACTGTCAGTGCTGTTAAGAGGTGCCAAGAATATATATGTTAGAAAAACACAGAATGATGTCAAATTCTGCCAAAAATTCTTCAAAAATATTGACAAATAACAAATGGAAGGCTGAGATAAAGTGCACTTTTAAAGCATTTGAGGCAGACCCTGGGTCAGCATGGTTGTGTGTCTTGGTCAGTTACCTGGTACTGTGGTTCCTCAGTGAGGCGGCTGAGCTCTCTGAACTCCAGCTGGATGCTTGTAACCTCGGCTACAGTGCTATCTGAGGTCCAGCGAGGGGGGTGGGCTGTCCCTTTCCCGATATTCACATCAGAATAGGGGATCTTGGACGGGGTGTTAAAGGCCGGCATCAGCCTGGAGCCAATGTCTTTCTGCAGGGGAAGAATGCAGGTAACATGCAGACTCTGTGATATCAGCAAATATAGAATCGTCCAAAAGACCAATTTCATATTGTGTGTATACCAGGACTTATTCCTCACTGAAGTTTACGTGTTAGCCCTTGTGTCTCACAGGTTTGATCTGAATGTTGTGCGTATGTTTCTATTTAACATTCTGGATAACATCTGCAGGCTGGTGGTAAAGACTCTTGAGATGACCAAGAGGCTCATTACAAAGGCTACAGCACTTGTAAGGTACAGCTCTGTCGCCACAATTATTCACAACTGAAGTAAATTGAGAAGGTGCAATTATCTGCATTCTCCAACGTAACTAAAATACGCTTGCAGTTTTAAAATGAGCGCATGTGTGTTGACTCACAGCTTTGTCTAGGAACAGGGTGTCTCCAGTCAGATGGTAGGTGCTCAGTAGGCCTCCCAGGATGCGGATGGTGCTTTCAAATAGGTTGACATCTACATTCTTGTTGAATGTTAGCTCTGTGGCCACCCACGTCCTTGCTTCTTCAAATTCTGTAACATAACAATACAAAGTTTAAGAATAAATAGAGGGGCGGCACAGTGGTGTGGTGGTTGCCGGTTCGATCCCGGGTGTGGGAGTCCTTCTGTGCGGAGTTTGCATGTTCTCCCCATGTCAGCGTGGGTTCTCTCCGGGCACTCCGGCTTCCTCCCACAGTCCAAAGACATGCAGACTGGGGACTAGGTTAATTGATAACTCTAAATTGTCCATAGGTGTGAATGTGAGTGTGAATGGTTGTCTGTCTCTATGTGTCAGCCCTGCAATAGTCTGGCGACCTGTCCAGGGTGTACCCTGCCTCTCGCCTGATGTCAGCTGGGATAGGCTCCAGCCCCCCCATGACCCTCAAGAGGATGAAGCGGTTAGAAGATGAATGAATGAATGAATGAATGAATGAATGAAAGAATAAATACAGAATAATATATAAATGACCCACCAACATAGTCTGAAATTATTCAGAAATTTAACAGTGTGGCACCACTACCCCCATATAAAGCAGACAAGAAGGTTTGGCATCGGAAGACTTTAAAGGATATACTAAAGCAACAGGTCGACAAGCAGGCGCAAAGAAAAAAAAAATTGGTATTTATTGACAAACACTTCACTGAAGCTAAGGCAAAAATTGAACCCCGATCTGCTACATTTTGACACCATTTTTTGCTGTGAGACTGGCTACACTGACTACAGCTTCATCCTTCGCAAGCTCCTAACTTTTCAACCTTTTAAGCATACAGGATCACAGTATCTAATCCTCAAAGACCGTTAGGTGGTTTGTCTGAAAACACTTTTATCACACTAACAACCTAGTCAAGAAGAGGAGGAAGTTTAAAGTTGGACATGTACCTTCTTTAAGCCCCAGGATCCACATGGTATCCAGGGCATCAATGAGCGTCAAACCCAGGCCAAACCACTCGCTGTAGGACTTGGAGAGGGGCCTGAGCTCATCATGGCCCCAAGCAAAGTCTTTATAACCCTTCCATGCATGTCTGAAAGCTTGCTGCACCGCCTCCAGCCAGTTTCCTTCTGGAACACACAATACACACAAGATACCCAGTTATTATCCCACAGAGTGATTCAGAAAAAAGAGAAACGTTCCACCTGTTTTTTAAAGTTACAATCATACTCTAAAGTGGATATTAGATTCCATAGTCACACTCAAACAGACATGCCTCCAGAGAGTTTTTACTTTATCAAACATGCTCAATGCAATACTTATTCATAATCAAATCAGAAAGTGGTCAAACAGCAGATACCTGACTCATTTGTTGGTTTGTCTTTTTGGTTGGCGGGCGAATCCTCCTTAATTTCCCCGTCCTTTGTGCCTTCTGTGCCCTGTTCAGTGTCGATCACCGCCCCATGCCAGCTGAAAGTCACCAGAAGATTAAGAATAAATTATACAAATATGTAAACAAAACTAACTTGAGCTGTAATCATACACCAAGTCTCACCTGATGACTCCCTCCTCCTCTCCTTTCTTGCCATCAGCTGCCTTTCCCTCAACCACTGGATCTGAAGTGTTTCCCTTCTTCTGAAGACGGTTGTGAAGGACAGGTGGTCCTCTTTTATTGGATAATTTCCTCTGTTACAAATGGTGACATAAACAAACTTCTTTAACCATTCAATTCTTCACTTCATGTAAGCAAGTTGTTAAGAAAGAAAAGCAGACTCATCCCCACAGGTAATGTTAAATAACTGTAGAGCTTTGTCTTTTTCAAGAAGATATTTTTTTAGTGAAACTTCCTGCCAAATTTGGTTTAAAAATTAATTGCTACTATGACAGTCTTCACTGCTAAATTAGTGCACCAGGGATATTAAACTGGTGGGAGCCACAGCAACATCACATGCACTTTTTCTTTGTGACCAGTCACGTCATGTCACCTCTGGGATTTTTCACAAAAACAAAAGTTAAATTACCTTGCTAAAAAAAACTAGTATCTGTAAATGTATCCTTTCTCCATGTAAGAAAGAGTAAATGCGACCCTGACAGCATGTTCAGTGGATTGTCCAGGGTAACAGGAATATTTCATGAACTGACTTTGGATATATGCAGGGTCCAAACTTAACTTTTTGACTTAACATCCACCTTGGCTGTTAAGTCAAAAAGTTAAGTTTGGATATATGCAGGGTCCAAACTTAACTTTTTGACTTAACAGCCAAGGTGGATGGTAGATGAAAAAATACACTAGCCAAAAATATTTATTTTACCGGCCAAAATAATAAATTGCTCCAAACACATTTGTTTCAGTACATTTCATTGTGATAATAAGATAATAAGTTGAAGACAATCTTAAAATAGAGGCCAGATCAAAATCTGAAGCAAAATTATTTTTTCAATATTGAAAAACTCATCACTACAGTGTCAGCATGTGAACAAGTTCCCCCTTGTAAGCAGCAGGGTTGAAAATTAGTATCAGCCACCAGTCAAATACTGGTCTAATATGCAAGTGGCTGATAGATTTCATTCACTCTCCAGCCAAAAAAACAACAGTGATCCGTTGAGTGGCTGGTAGATTTTGGTATCCACCAGCAACAGTGGCAGGTAAACAAAAAAAAAAGTTCATTGTGATGTATATTTCTAGGGCTTTTATTGTGAAAGAGAAAGTGGAGTAAAGTAGAGTGACAATGTGGAAGGCAATAAAGAGTTTGCCGTCTTGGTTCGGACTACAAGGTCTGTTATTATTTCATTACCTTCATAAGTACGGGTGCAACACTAGACAGCAGCAGACCAGCAGCAAGTGACATTTTAGTGGATCAGCTGATGTCTCGTATGGTAAACAGTGATGCAAAACTAGGAGTGCTCGAGACGGTCAGTCTCACAGCACCATTTAAATGGACAGGTGTGTGTGTGTGTGTCTGTGCTTGACAGACAGCACAGGAGCAGCTTAGGAGCAGCAGAGCAGTGTGCCCCTAGATGATACAAAACGCGGCAGAGACTCACAGCATAGTTTTTTTTAATTACACAACTACTGTGGCACAAACATACCTGCCCGTGTGGTGGATAGTCTGCCAAGATTGACTTGACAAACGAAAAAAATCAACCCACATTTGGCGCTCGGTGGGTGTTCATTTCAGACCCTGCATATATGACCATATATTAAGATGCACAATAGGCTACATCTTCCAACATGGACAAGGCCTCACTATTTGCCTAGTACTAATAATACCAAGCTTTTCAGGTCATGTGTGACTTCAAAAGTGGAACAAGCACAATCTCAGATCACATCCTGTAAATTCATAATGTTGAGCAACCTGTTTGTAGTGGTAGTTAGACTTAAAATAACAAGCAGGTACCATTCAGGTCATGTACTTCCACTTTAACTCTTACTCATATTGCCATGCTGATGTTATAGCTGTGGCTCCCTCTATGACCCTGGGCTTTTTCTAAATAATGGAGCAAAGGTCCTGCACTATCATACTGTTGTAACACATAACATCATTCAACATCATAACTCAGCTGCTAAATATATATAGACAAAGTAGTTTGTTTTTCTCACTAATTTAATAATAACCTGAAATATTGCACTTTTTATTGACACTACAATCACCTCATGGGTTGCTGAATATCACAACCCATCTATCCAAATTAACATTAACATTAAATTTGAAAACACTCATCAGCAAAGGAAGATTTTCCAAACTTTCCAAGAATTTTAAGTGCTCCACTCTCTTAAGAAACCCTGTGCTACCCTTCAAAGAACACAAGCAGATAAACAGAAACCTGGGAGGTTTGTTCTGGCAGTGGTAGTTGGCCCTGTTTGACAGGCTCGGGCAGCACATGGGGGATGACGGGCCTCAAGTAGTTGTTAGCGTCTGTGTCTTGGTCCCCATCTGTAAGGCCTGAACACATAGACAAACAGATTGACTTTCAAAGTATTACAGTAATGCAGTAGCACAGTTAAAGGTGGCAGGAGGGCAGGATGATTACTGAGGGTCACAGGTTAGAGCTTCGCAGAAGCCCAGATCAAACAAATGATCGATATGCTTACTGGTCTTAAATGCACTTTTAACAAAAGCTTAAACACTATTGCATTAATTTAACATATAACAACTCAAGCCTCAAGGAGCCTCTGACAGCATTCCAGGGGCTCAGATTCATGGAATATCATGGAAGATGTTTAATGTATAAGAGTCTCACCTCTGAGGTGTTCAGTAACAGCAGGATAGGAAGCGATTCCACAAATAAAAAGGAGGACGAGGATAAGGCTCCGCTGCAGTCTGGACAGCTGCTTCCATTTCTGCAGGTACACAGGAGAGAGGGAGATGGAACAGGCATGTCATGATAGCACAAATTTAGTATCACAATTCTTGACACTCAATTTGATACCATCGTAACAAATATAAAACCTCCTTTATTAAAAACATTCAAATTGAATAAGATATATATTGTATCATTAATCCCTAATGATCCTCCTTGAACACACAGTACTACTCTATGTGACTTCACGAGACAGTTTGGGCAAAGAAACGAATATATAGCCTACCATATTTCTTCTAAATTGTTGTTATTCAGCACATGTGCATCTAAGATGTGAAGGTTGGTCTTTGTGGTAGGCTATTTGTCCCGCCCCTCCCCCACTATATTTGGACAGTTGGGTAAAAGTGACAGTAACAAGCAAAAATAATAATAACCAAAAATAATCGTGATTATGATTTTTTCCATAATCGAGCAGCCTTACAGAGCAGGTCCTCTTCCATGGAGTCTTCTATGTTGTTTCTACAGTAGCCCACAAAGGACAGAGCCAACATTGACTCCAGATAGGGGCATTTGTGTTTTCACATTGGCAACCATAGTTTTCCTACATGTTTGGCACACATGAGAAGTTTCAGTTGGTTGCCATCTATAACCTCAACACTAGATGTCACTAAATCCTACACACTAGAGGCTAAACAGCAGATGCGAACATTTGGAAGCATACAGGCTGTCATGTTAGTGGAAAAAGAAACTAGTATTAGTTCTCATGATGTCCCTGACATAGAGACTAATGCCAAGACAGCTAAGAACTGGATTTCTTTGTGCTTTCCAGTAATAGACCTTACACCACAGTGAAGTCAGTGACAGCTAAATAAAGCCCTTGATGATTAATAATATCTTTCTTTGTTTGCTTGTTTAAATGGAGCAGGACGCTGAAAAAGCCTTCCAGGTTTCCTTCATCTCCTGCACTGTAATAGCTGCCTTTGCTATTATATCTACTTTGTAACTTCCTTGTTGTGCAAATAAACTAAACTGAACTAAATACTAAATGTTCTGCTGATGAGCGCTGGATCGTGGGACTGGATTATCACATATGTTACCTCTCTGTATGATGAACAATAACTGTAATATTAATGCTATACATTACCAGAACACTTCCAACGAGAGGTGCAGCTTCTTTGATTTTTAATAGTTATGCCTGATGCTATTGGAACATGTTGTGATCACATACACCACCACGAACATTGTTCAAGTCCTGCTAAGCTTCCTAACAGTGTGCACATAATGAGCCAATATGCAGATTTAGAGGAAATGTTCCCACATGCTGAAGAGTCAAACTGCCATGCTGATATTGTAGCTGTAGCTCCCTGCACACACCTGACCCTGGAGCAATGGCCTGGCACTATCATCCTCTGTTAAAACACACAGCGTCAAACCACACCTTAATGCTAAATTCTTAGCATTAAGTGCAGAATCATACAATATGGGTACCACAAGACCCTGTAATTATTGGGAGAACCCTTTGGTTTTCACAAATAGTAAACATTTCTACATTTTTAGGATGTACATTTTTAAAAAATAATTAAAAAAAGAGTTCATATAATGTCACTGTGTAATAAAAGTATGAGGTTGTATGTAACATTTATAAAGTATGTAGGTTGCAACAGCTTGCAAGTAGCCATAAAACTACAGCTATACCTAGGAACCTTTTACTTAACAGTAGTATTGCAGCAAGGTTTGACTTCACATTTGTTCTAAGCAGGATCACCAACAAGCCCAACATTGCTGTGTCACTGCAAGTTTACAAAGTAGCAACAGTTTGCCAGTTAAAGTTGACCACAATGGACAAGAAGTATTATATAGCTATTTGTGACTCCCACTCCTCTAAAGCTTTTGTGCAAAAGGATCGCACGAATACCTCAAAATAGGAATGCACAATAATATGGGCCTGTCATCTGCATCAGCTGATATTGGCTTAAAAATTAACTATCAGAATCAGCCAACATGCTTTTTCTTATTTTGCACGATGAATGAATGTTACAAACATTGAAAAGCATTCTATTTCATGTCTCCATCTGCTGTTTGCCCCTCCTGATAAGAGTATGCAAGTATAATATGATATTAATTCCACTACAGAAGAGACTTGATGATCACTCAGATTTAGGTGGGATCAATGCCGGTATTGGTTATTGGTCAAACGAGTAGTCACTTATCAGCATATCAAATATCAGCAAAAATTCCAATATCGTGCATCCCTACCCAAAAATGCAATATTTCATGTGTTTGTTTAATTGAGGGACAGACGAATAAACAAACTTGATCTTGGAATTAAAGCCCCATCAACAATACCTGGAGATCCATTGTCACTTCTTTTCTAGTATAACCTGGCCCTTGGAATTGATAATAAACTGATAAACATCATGTGCACTACACCCAATTCTACAATATAGCACAGAAAAGAAGACAGCCATGCACTCTTCAGGTCCACAAATATCTTTTGATGGCAAGTATCAGAAAATAGAGCCAGCAATGCCCAAAGAGGGAAACAAGATCGGTGTCCTCATTAGGGTGGGAAACAAGAGCACTTAAGATGAGAAACAGAAGCGAGAAGACACGCTTTATGAGCAGCTCATAGATGCATCTCACTCACCCTCCAGCAGGACTGCCTCCTCCATTGCTTGCCGTTATTGTAATTTCCACTTCCTTGTCCAGCAAAGTTTATAGATATATAATCCTGTCGAGGTTGTGAGTGCATGTCTGTAACCCAGCCCTGGAGGAAGAGATACAGTGAATAGCAGTGTGAGTGAGAGCAGAGCCGGATGGAGATGGCAGGTGTGGTGATGTTAACCCAGATTCAAACAAGCTGGGGGGGGGGGCAAGATGCAGCTAGCATAGGAGCCTGGCTGGTAAATATAGGTGTGGTTGTGATATGATTAAAACAAAATGAGACATTATTCTCTACAATAGAGAGTTTTGCCCACTTTGATTCACTTCACACACATTTGACTAACGTTACGCTAAGAAAAACCTTACTTATAGGTTTACCCTTAAGCTGCTGCAACCTCAGTTCACAACACACCTAATCTCAAGCAAAATGAATTATCGTAATGCTCAAACAGTTTCACTTCAGGGGAAATACAATCTTAGATGCTGGTGGTTAGCACAGCACAGCTAGCTACATAGCTGTCATCCTACCTCCAAGTGTTCAACAGGCTAATTTAATTGATAGCGTAAACCTAGATAAATGTTAACCGTCGAGATACATTGCTTTATTCAGTCGAAATAATTTTTGAATAAAGTACTGCATATTAAGATATTTACTGTAACTACTTACTGATATTATTTTACCGTTCACACGAGACTGAAACACCAGTGTAACGTCAGCCCCGCTGTGGCGGCTACTTTACCTACGCGTCACCGAACTAAGTGACGTTTTGGCAGTTTCACAGACCAACTGTGGACCGAGGCATGGCGTGAGGCCTACAGTAACTGACACCATGGGTACACGCCAATACTTTTTAAGTACTGCAGAATCCTTCCTCAAAGAGAAAAAAACTCTCTTTGTTAAAGATTTAATGGCCCTACAGAAAAAATGACAACATGAAACTGACATCTTGTTACCTTGTAAAGTATCCAGCGTTAAATTAGATGTGCAACCAGTCTAATCCACCAGCAGGAGAGTAACGCTAAAAGCAGTCAGAACTGCGGTTAGCTCAACGTTAATGTAACAGCCTCGGTGGTCTCTCCATGTAGGAGACACTCCGCCGATGCTGTTTCCGAAAGTCCTCGTTTTATAATTGTTCCACAGACGATTAAAGAATGCTAAATATCTTCCACTTGTATCTCAGGATGCGATGTTGCCCACTGTCAACAATAATGTGATCAGGTGCACCCGTGCTGCCTTCACTGACTTCCTCGAAATATCGTAAACACCAAGTTTTAAGTTTTTGGTATTGTGATCCTGTTTGATCCACGCTTTATAAGAAATTAATTCAAAACACTCATTTCTTTCTGTAGTCACTCTGAAACCGTCAGTATTTTTTCCATAATGTTTTAGAATATATTATCACATAAACTCACACTCACCTTGGCCCATAAAATCAAAATAATAATAAAACATTTTCTGTATCTGTTATTGTTTATAACTGTAGCACTTGAAGCAGTTCAGCATATTTGATGAAGCTGATGTATTTACATGGTTTTTTTCCCTTTATTTTTCTTGCAATTTTAGGGTTGTATCCACATGGTTGAATGCAGTTCCTGTAAGGGGCTTTAGATAAAGCGTCAGCTAAATGAATGTAATGTAATGTTAAGCCCAGTTCCACAAGTAAAACAATAGGCAACAAAATCCATTTAAATGAATTTAATTTATGATGAAGCACAATACCGTATCAAATGTAACTCACAGTAAGATACAGTTGTAGCATGGGTAGCTCAGAGGTAATACAGTGTCCAAGTCTGCAGGACCATATACAATTAAAACTGCAACATCCCTTCTTTTCAAATCCTATCAAAATAACTTATTTATCCATTTGGAACATCATTTGTGTAAAAACGTACTTATACTGGCTAAAGCTGCACTAATACAATGGATCAAATGACCACATGTTAAATGGCTTTTACTGACAAACCCTCAAAGAGTTATCACCAGACTGCAGTTCGCCTCAGCTCTGCTGAGCTTTTTAGCCTCTTTCAGCACAATGGTTTGGATTTCCAGCCCACAACTCTATTCCTGTGGACCCCATTTTAGGTAGCAGTCGGTTGTTCCAGCAAAAAAAAAAAAAAAAACCTGATAAGGCCACTATGGTACACTACCCTTCCAGCACCTAACAGCAGACAGACAAAGTAAGAGATGAGAGGGTAAACATAGTGGAGCATTTGGCAGCTGAGGAGTCAGATGTTTTTCTCTGGAGTTTGTGGAAGTCAAACCAGAGCGAAGTAAGTGTGGCTATCACACTAACATTCATCAGGTGGACACAAACACAACTCCAGATGAATGCTTATGTTGCAATAGGTAACTGTTTACTTCCCCATACCAAATTTATAAGGTGATAATGTTATGTTTGTGTTTTCAGCTCACTCTGCAGCGCACAAGTGGCCAAAAAACAAACAAACAATTAATGTATGTGTAATTTTTGTGCAGCATCATTTAAGTGTTAAGAAACACTGAGAAACAAGAAGCCTGGAATCAACACAACATAAATTAAGAACCTTAAAACAATTAGAAACTCAACAGAAACCAGCTCATGATGGATATGCACAAAGTAGGCTGAAGAACTACAATACATTGACTACAGGCAATAACAAATAAACTAATTGAAATATCTACAACAGCCACATGATGTATTTACAACAGTTACATTTAAAATAAAGGTTCAAATAGTGTCATGGACAGCTGCATAGGATCACAAAAAACACATCTGGCATCTTCTGATTGGTAGACTCTTCCCTGATGAGATTTAGCAGATGGTGAAACCTAAATAAAAATGTTCCTCATGGTTTAACAACCAAAACCTCATTAATAAAGTGAGTACAAAGGACCGACACTGTACACAATTCATCAGATAAATACCATGAAATGGACTATGGACTACACAAGAGCGTAGTAAGGGTATGGTAATCAGAAAGTACTGAGAGACACAGACTATCACATAATTTGTCTTTTCATGAGATTACCATGAGGTAAGCATTTGAAAACACAACATCATGTCAGGATTTGTAAACACTTTTAAAAAGGACTGAAAGTGGCAAATGATCTGTTCATTTTTTACCCAGGTAGCCTGGTTCATCAAACTATAACCTGAACAATACTGGATTTTTGAGTCCAATACATTTATCAGAGTTCAGATTTCAACAATATGACCTGAGTTTCCCATCAGGAGGCGGAGGAGGGCACAGAGGATGGCATGACATGGAACATTTCCAGCTGTGTTTGTTGAGACAAAATTAGTATTTTTCAACAATATCTCAGGTCATTTTGAACCGTAGTTGTTGTGACAAAACTGGAAGATGACTGATGTTCGAGATCCAAAAAATAGCGGGTATTTTTAATGACACGTTGGGACATTTCCAGCAGTATTTGTCACGATAAAACAGGGTATTATTTAACAATATATGGGGATATTTTCAGCCATGTTTGTTGTGTTGTGGTATTTTAAGCCAAACCATGTTTTCCTCATCCTGATCAAGTGTTTTTTGTGCTTAAACCTAAGCACACCATGACCACAGCCTTGTCACAACATTAAATAGAAAACTGAAACATAAAGAAGTTTAAAGTTTAAACATATCTGCTACATATCAAATGTAAAAATGAAACATAACTGTGGTTTGCAGAAATGTCCAGCGCCAACATTTAGTCTGGCTATTGGGTTGCTTAAATCTGGTTATTAAAGAAGTGTTACAACCGTATGTACCATCAGGAAATTTAACGGTGGAAAAGCAAACTTGTCGGTGTGGCCAAACTGTAATGGAGACAACTGTAGTGTTATTTTTCAATCAACAAACACTGATAATGATACTGATTTATTTTATGAATCCATGAATAGTATTCTGATTGTGCTGTAGAGGTATTGGAGTTGTGATACAGGTGGGATTTGTGTCCTTCTTATCAATAAAATCCATAATTTTCATTGTAAAATCAATTAATGAGGTGCTTATGTACATCGTTGAGCTCTGGCCATCTTGACACTGTTAACCTTTGAAGGAACAGAGAAAACAAAAAAGAAAAAGCTATCATATGAACTTTGTTGCATGACCCAGGAGTTGTCACTACGTCACCAAGTTTCCACCACCTATGTTGACATTTGAGCACAATGATCAAGTAAAAACATACCTGAATCAAAATTGAAATGACTAAATGAATGTTGAGCATTTATATAAATAAGCACGTTTCAAAAACACACAAACAAAATGTACAAAATATAGTTAATCAAAATATCCCTGGTCTTAAAGGTGGGTGAGTCAACAGTCAGTCTGTGCAGAGGAAATCTTCAGAAACTTTCTCCTGAAGGATCTTCAGCTCACTTTGTGCCTTTTGTCCTCATTAATAGTGAAAAAGATTGTGCTTGGTCAATTTTCGACCCAGACTTCCCAATACAAACATTGCTCAAAAAATCCAGAATGAAATGGCTAGTCAGCCCAATTGCAAAAATGTTGGACAACTGTGAACTAGAATGCAATGCCAAATCAGAAATAGCTATAAAAGACAGTACAAAAGTGCCAGAAATACATGGTTTGCCTGTTCAGATTGTTGTAGCTGCAGACGACCACACAAATGCAGCCATGCTAAGAGACAGGGGGCGTCCTTAGCTGAAGCATGCTGGTCCTACGGTGAAGCCAAACTCCTGCGTTACATCTTTGTTTCCGAACACTGCCAGGTCCCTGAGAGGCAGCAGTTGGAGATCTTCGCTTTCAAATTGAAAAACTGATTCCTGGGCTGCCGACTCAAGCTGCTCCGACAACTGTGGAAAAGGAAACAGTGTTTGAAAATACTTGGATAAGTAATTCCCTTTTTGTTTATTAGTCTTTATAGTGGCATGCAAAAGTTTGGGCACACCAAGACATTTGAGCTCTCAGACAACTTTTACCAGGGTCTCAGACCATAATTAGCTTGTTAGGACTCTGGCTTGTTCACAATCATTGTTAGGAAAGGCCATGTGATGCAAAATCCAAAGCTTTATTAATACTCTGACTCCTGAAACCTTGTCCCAACAATCAGCAGCCCTGGGCTCCTTTTAACAGCTGACTAGCACTCTGAAAACTAAAATAAGTGATGCCCACAAAGCAGAAGAAGGCTATAAGAAGATAGCAAAGTGTTTTCAGGGAGCTGGTTCCTCAGTTCGTAATGTAATTAAAAAAGAAAAGTAACCGTGGACGTCAAGTTGAGGTCTGGAAGCCCAGGAAAACTGCTGCTCATAGGATTGTTTGAGAAAAAGAAATTTGTCATCTTTAACTTTTGGCCTTTTTGAGATCAAGTCATCTTTTGCTTGCTTAGTTGATCACAGTAAATACATTTTGACCAGGGGTGACCAAACTTTTGCATGCACCTGTATGTGTTTGTTTTAGACATACTAAAGGCATGGCTCTACAGACGGCAATGTCAATCTAATGAATGGCTTTAGATATAATTTTGTACAGCCATTCGTGGTCCCCAGAGGATAAACCCTACTAACTTTAGTGATCCCCTCACCCAGCACCACCAGCAGGTACAGGTTTTAACTTATTCTGTGAATATCTCAATATTACCTGGCTGGATCAGCACAAGATTTTGTACAAATATTCATAGTTCTGACAAATAAAGAATCCTAATGACTTTGGTGATCCATGTGACCTGTTCTGTTGCACCACTATGAGGTGGTGTTGAGTGAAATGTCAGGGCAAATGATAAATACTGTAAATTTTCAAATGGAGCCTGTATTCAAATTCATATAGTAACAAGTGCAGCAAGTATGAACAAAGAAAGGCAAAGAGTAAAAATACTATTTCTCATAAGGTTGATTCAGTAAAACATACATTTCCACAGCATTCATTCCATCAGTACGGCAACAGAATCACATCATACTCACCACTGTGCTGCACTCAGCTTCTTTTCTCTTATAGAAACACTGTTTTCATTCATTTCTTTAGCATGGCAATGCAAAGTTAACCACATCAATTTACCACTTCCTGCAGATGCTGCAAATGAAAAGCCTTCCAGGAACAGATTATGCCTTGAGTTGCTGGGAGGCGTTTACTTTACTTAACTTGATTTTTCTTAGTAGTCTCTGAGTGCATTTTTGAGGGGCTAGAGGTGCTTGAAAACTCAAGCAACTTTGCATACTTGTCAGAAGTGGCAAAAATAGATATCTGATACAGGTCTCATGCTCAGGTGTGGCAAATGTTGAAAAACAGTGTTCAAAGTAAAAAAAAAAAAAAACATCTTTAAATTCAATGTAGATAAATGAAATTTGGTATGCATATGTTACATTTACAGACATAAACAAAAAAACTCTTAGAGCTACACCCTACACCCAACAGGGAGTCAGGGAGTTGTACTGTGCTCTTTTTCTGCCTTACATATTATATTGTGTTGAAGTATGGGGCAATACGTAAATAACCAATATAAAACCCATTTTCATGTTACAGAAAAAAGCTATTAGAATAATCAATCATGCTGCATATAAAGACTCAACAAATTCATTTTTTATTAAATTGCAAATACTAAAATTTTATGATTTAGTTGAACTGAACACAATAAAGTTTATATATAAAGTTAAAAATAACCTTGTTCCAAACACTATACAGACTCTTTTTGAAAGGAGAGATAGACACTATGAGCTCAGAGGAACTGAGATGTTTAGAAAACCAACAGTTAGAACAAACACTAAAATAAACTGTATTTCCATTAAAGGAATACGTCTGTGGAACAGTTCCACTGATGAATTAAAACTAAGCACTTCTTTATTACAATTAAAAACATTATATAAAAAGTCAGCAATTCGAAGATACTTGACAAAAATCTGATTTGGCAAAAAAAAAAAAAAATGTTTTGTGGTTTTAATTGCTCTTATTTCTCAGTTATCAGCCTTTTGTTGGCTGCATTGTGAGCCGTTTTTTGTTTGTTTGTTTGTTTTGTTTTTTTGTTTTTGTTTGTTTTTGGAGTATGTGTGCGTGTGTGTAAAGAGGGTGGGCTAAATAAGCTTCAGCTTCAGCCTACACCTTTTCGGTCAATATGTACATACAGTCAGGTCCATAATTATTTGGACAATGATACAGTTGTCATCATTTTGGCTCTGTACACCACCACAATGGGTTTTAAATGAAACAATGAATACCTGCTTAAAGTGCAGACTCTCAGCTTTCATTTAAGCCTTTTTTCAAAAATGTAGTATGAACCGTGTAGGAATTACAACCATTTCTTCACACAGTCCCCCGACTTTAAGGGCTCATAAGTATTTGGACAAACTAACATAATCATCAATTAAACAGTCAGTTTTAATACTTGGTTGCAAATCCTTTACAGTCAATGACTGCCTGAAGTGTTGGACACATATGCATCACCAGATGCTGGGTTTCTTCCCTGGTGATGCTCTGCCAGCCCTTTACTGCAGCCATCTGCACTTCCTGCTTGTGTTTTGGGTGTTTTGCCCTCAGTTTTGGCTTCAGCAAGAGAAACGCATGTTCAGTTGGATTCAGGTCAGATGATATGACTTGGCCATTGCAGAACATTCCACTTCTTTGCCTTAAAAATGTCTTTGGTTGCTTTTGCAATATGCTTCAGGTCATTGTCCAACTGCACTGTGAAGCATCGTCCAATGAGTTTTGAAGCATTTGGTTGAATCTGAGCAGATAATGAAGCCCCAAACACTTCAGCTTTCATCCTGCTGCTCTTGTCAGCAGTCACATCATCAATAAATACAAGAGAACCAGTTCCACTGGCAGCCATACATGGCCATGACATAACAGTACCTCCACCATGCTTCACTGATAAGGTGGTGTGCTTTGGATCATGAGCAGTTCCTTCCCTTCTTCCTTCTCTTGTCTTCCCATCATTCTGGTAGTTGATCTTTGTTTTATCTGTCCATAGTATGCTGTTCCACAACTGTACAGGCTTTTTAGATGGTTTTTGACAAACTCTAATCTGGTCTTCCATTTTTAAGGCTAACCAATGGTTTGCATCTTGTGATGAACCCTCTGTATTTATTCTAGTGAAGTCTTGTCTTGCTGACAAGAGCAGCAGGATGAAAGCTGAAGTGTTTGGGGCACCATTATCTGCTCAGATTCAACCAAATGCTTCAAAACTCATTGGACGATGCTTCACAGTGCAGTTGGACAATGACCTGAAGCATATTGCAAAAGCAACCAAAGACATTTTTAAGGCAAAGAAGTGGAATGTTCTGCAATGGCCAAGTCATATCATCTGACCTGAATCCAATTGAGCATGCGTTTCTCTTGCTGAAGCCAAAACTGAGGGCAAAACACCCAAAACACAAGCAGGAAGTGCAGACGGCTGCAGTAAAGGGCTGGCAGAGCATCACCAGGGAAGAAACCCAGCATCTGGTGATGCCTATGTGTCCAACACTTCAGGCAGTCATTGACTGTAAAGGATTTGCAACCAAGTATTAAAACTGACTGTTTAATTGATGATTATGTTAGTTTGTCCAAATACTTATGAGCCCTTAAAGTCGGGGGACTGTGTGAAGAAATGGTTGTAATTCCTACACGGTTCATACTACATTTTTGAAAAAAGGCTTAAATGAAAGCTGAGAGTCTGCACTTTAAGCAGGTATTCATTGTTTCATTTAAAACCCATTGTGGTGGTGTACAGAGCCAAAATGATGACAACTGTATCACTGTCCAAATAATTATGGACCTGACTGTATTACTGTGAACGAACTACACATATTTTGAGATGTAAGACTGAAATAAATTCATTCATTCATTCATTCATTCATGAGCTGACAATTTTGTCTGAACATCAGGTAAAAGTACTGCAGGAACTTAAAATGTGTAAGTGTTTAAAACAAGGCTTATAGCTAGGATTGGTAACATTTATAAAAATAACTTGTCATGTACTTCTGTGTGGATGTAATGATGTAATTTTAGATAATAGTAACCAACTATAACTTTAACGGAGGTGTATATGGTTTGGGGTTAAAATGTCCTCACTATTGCGTGAGCCGCTGGTTTCTTGGATTCATGAGCCTCTATCACCATCACTGTCACTTACCACACAGTCTCGCAGTGCCCCCAGGTAACTCTGCCTCCGAGTGTCAGCCAGGAACTTAACTTCCCTCTCTGTGCTGCCCTGTCTCGTTCCCTGCTGACAGGAATAAGTGATGGTCTGACTGGAGAATCTGCTGCTGAGTCGCAGAAACCTCATCTGCACCACATCTGTTCCTCCTGGATACTCAAACTGAAGGTAAGTGGTTTACACATAAGATATGAGTTAGAGAAACAAGTAAATCAGAGAAATCCATCTCAGACAAAAGTGGAAAGCAATATCTGGATCAGACGCTCACCTGGAAGCCGTCTTCAACTGTGCTCAACCAGTGAAATGACATATTGGTGCCAGAATCCTTCAGCCAAGCTTTGACTGGAACCTGTGGTTGGTCATGAATGTTATTACATTAATATGATGTGTGTTATATGTGTGTCATGTTTATATTGTGTACCTCTGAGTTAGTCTATGGGTGCCAGCTCAAATCTCCAAAAAGTACAATCCAAAGATAGATTAAAAACATATCTCTGTTTTCACTTTAACAAAGGTTGCTGGTTATGCACACTGTCATGCCCAGATGATGGAATGTGTTGGTATGGAGCCTGCCAAGGGTCATATGCTTAAAAAAAATGTATGTGATTTATTAATCAGTGTGCTGTGATTACTTTATAGCAGGCCATGTTCACCATTTTATAAACTCTGAGATGAAAAAAAAAAGACTTCTGACATGAACCACAGACCTTCGCAATAAAAACAGTGAATGGGTTTATTATTTAATCTTTATAGCCACAACATGAGAGCTATCAATAATAATCAGTTTTGGATAAATTGTGAGAATACTGTAACATGTTTAGTAAACTACACCTAACAGCAGCCCAGTTACCAGAATAAAATGTTAGCATTATACATTTAGCAAACCAGGGATATGATACATTTGTACATTTCATATATATTGTATCAAGGTTTTTATTGTGAAGCTGTTCCTATTATATGTACATGAGCTGAGTTTGTCATCGGGATGTGGAGGGGACGATGATTAGCGTGACAACTACGCAATGCCTGATAGATAATTCAGAGGTGTAGGAGCTATGCTAAGTGCTTCTATAACCAATTGTCATTGTCAATCTTTCTGTCAAACTCCCAGTAAGACAGCCAACAGGAGTATTTTCTACAATATTTGTGTGAGAGAGGAACTGGCAACAGTAGAAGTAAGAAAATTCATCCTGAAAGCAATCGACTATTTTTAGACCTAGGGCCTGATCAGACAGAGCACGCTTTGCAACCTTTTTGTTGAAGCTGACCCTGATCAGACAGGGTGCTTTTAAATAGCAGCCTGGGTGGATTTGTGTTACTGTTTTCAATAAGAGTGAAGCTTTTAACTCACTGCTTTTGCATTGCAGAGAGATATTTTCACTTCGTCTGCAGTCCTCCAACAACACAGGGTAAAAAGGATGTTGGCTAGTCAGTTGTTTGATGTGAAACCTTAACATTAGAAAGTAGCTGAAGCCACTCTTTGATCAGATATGTCTTGCAGCTTGCCCAGGGTGACATTAAGAGTGAGCTAACCTTGGCTTGATGCAAAACTGTCCACTACCACCATGGATGTATAAAGAGAACTGGATACAGTTCCTGACCCCATTCATGTAAAATTACCAGGATCTTCTGCATCATTGGGCCCATAGAGCAGGCACACTTGAGACTTCTGCTGGCTGAGCACCTAACTTCCAGTTTGTCCTTGGCTCATTTGAATAGGAATAAAATAATTCAATCATGCAGCCCTTTTAGACCTTTGAAATGTTATCAGTTCAAATGGATCAAACCACTAGAGTGAAACAAGTCATTTCACAGGGGTTGTGATGCTCAAAAACCTTTATCCACTGCTTTACGGACATCTCTATCCCAATGTAAGTCTATGGGAAAAAGTCATCTTGGGCCCCGGTGGCATCACGGGACAGACCCAGAAGTTGTAATTCCACTGTGCCACTAAGTCAAATTGGCCTCAAAGCCCACCGCTGTTCCTCGGGCCTTGGCTATCATTTGTTGTCATTGCCACTACAGAACACCTGCCTCTGAAATTGTCTCTGTGGATAATGGGAAAAAACAGCAATGACGTCGAGTTCTTTTCTGCTCTGAGTTGAAGTTTTTTCAACTCAAGGCGTTCCAGGTGCTCCTGCAAAAACGTAAGGGGTTGCTCATTCATGAAAAGTGAGTAAATCTGTGTGTAGATTTGCACATAAAAGCCTACGCTACTAAAAACCTACTCCGGATTCAGGAACGCCGCGGGAAACTTAGATTTGATCGTAAACACGTGTGTATGATCATGAATGCCAATCCATCGTAAAGTGACAGCACGCTCCCGGTAATCAGCAATTAGCATGAATCCCCGCCCATGAATAGCCAATAGCCACCATATAAGGAGGTGTAGGTGAATCCAGTCGACCTGACAGTCATGGCGCAAAGAAAGAAAGAGAGAGAAAGAAAAAAAGAATTTTTCCGAAGCGGAGATCGAAATAATTTTGGGTGAAGTGGACTTAAGAAAAAACATTTTATTTTCTTCAGTTAGTAGTGGTGCGACAGGGACAGGCAAAGCGAAGGCCTGGAGGGAGGTAACAGATGCTGTTAATGTTGTCTCCGTGGTACAAAGAACCATGTCAGAGGTGAAGCGTAAATGGTTTGATATGAAACTGGAGGCAAAGAAACGCATAAGCACACAAAAAAAAATACAGCGGTCACCAAACAAACAGAAGATTCATTTGTGGGGTTTTGAATGAAGTGGGAGCGGAAACCAGAGATGTTTTGTGCGTAATGGATAAACTCTAAATCAGTGATGGCTGTCGGAATGTAGAGCTATTTAACATTTATTTTAACAAATGATACGGATAACATATAGCCTACAGCAGTTTTGTATGCATCGTCTTCAAATTATTTGAATCTTAATAGCCTAAAGCTCTGTTTTATACAACGTAAATTAAACATTTTTCAAATCAGATTTATTCATTCAAATGATCAAAAAGCCACAAAAAAAAACAAACAAAAAAAAACGTGCTGTCTCAAATAATTCTTTCAGCTGGTGGGTGCTCCTTCGTGGCTCCACCACCTGCTGCCCCTGCTGAACCCAGGCACCGAGGCAGAAGAGGCTGTGATCCGGCTGTCATAACGGATATTTTTATTATCATCATTCAACATGTAGAAAGAACGTGTAATCTATTGAGTCGATTTACATAGATAATTCACAATCATGAACCTAATCTGGATCTTAAACCTGCTAATTGCCAACTAATTTAACTAAATGTGTTATATTTTTAATATTTTGTCATGTTTAGATTACGTGTTTCAAAGGCATCTGTGTATTGTGTACATAACAGAGCGCAATACGAATTAAAATTGTAATTTCCAATAGTGACAAGCAATATTTATGTGCTGTACTAAATTTACACAAGCACTACGAGTGATCAGGAGCAGGAGTAGATTTTGTTAGTAGCTACGAAAAGATCAGAGCTACTAAAATATTGATGAGTGCGGACATGCACGTAAATTTCCGTCTGTGAACAGTTTACACACAAATTCCTTCTGCTCACGTTTCATGAATGAGACCCACAGTGTTTAGAGTGGAAACACAAATGCAGCTGGCGAAATGCTTCTCTCTCATCAAAAACAATTACAAAAAAACTGCCCCAGGCTGCTACAGCGCGCTCCGTCCAATCAGGGCCTTAGATGATCCCAACCTCAATGTCATTTGTTTATTTGTGGGTATAACCGTTATGTGGTATTAAAATGATATAATGTCTTACACTTTAAAGAATGTCAGGTGTGGTGTGCATTGCTGATACCTGAGGCTGGAGTGGAGACAGGCAGGTCTTTGGCTCTGCTGTGAAGTCACAGTACACTTGAAAAGCATCAGCTGGGCTCCCCTGGTTAGGATCGATGTAATACATCCCTGAAACAAGAGCGTGTTTTAAAAAATCAATTCCAAACTTCACAACACAGCACAAACAAGAGACATGATATCAACATACTCCTCTGCATCCTCACAATCCATTTGCATGACCTGCTGATAAACATTCTGAAATAAACTGACTTAAAAAAAATAACTTGTATAACTCAATGACAAGACATATATGGTAATTTCTAGAGGAACAATAGTTCATATTTTTCCCCTAAAAAGAGCATCAGTGAATGATTCAGTGTCAGTGTGTTACCATTAGTGGAGTTGGGGTGAGCGAGCCACAGCTCAAGACATGTAGTAGCTGGGTGTTGTTTGGTGCCATCTGGTGGGTTTATGAACCAGTGAAGATCTCTCTGCAGGGAGTCCAACAAAGTCTGGACCAGGATGTAGTTGGGCTTGTCTGACATATACATGAGCTCCTGAGATATTAAAAGCAAAATAAAGAATGATAAAAAAAATATGCATGGATGAAACAACGTAATAAATTAAAGAGACTATAGTTTAATTTGATTCAATTCTGGAAGTGCAATAACTTCACAAAATGTATTATTTGTATATAGACATCGATGAAGAAAGCAAAATTTAAGTCATGTGTTTAAACAAAATAAATATTAAGACTTTGGATGTTAAATGATCTTTTATGAATAGATATTCATTTGTGACCTTTGACCTTTTATGTACAGGATGGTCTCTAACCATTAAGGGTGTCTGTAAGATAAACTAAGATAAGGCTTTCTTAAAAAAGATTTAATGACCACAGGTCTGTCACACTGAGGTCTGATAGGCATATGGCTGCAACATAAACTGCAAATTTCTTAACAATGTGCCATCGTTGTGGTTAATTGAGTCTGCGGCTGACTTTGATTCACATTAACCATCTTGTATGGTTCTGGTGATTCAAAGATGACACAAACAAATAAATGACACCATAAAAAGCCATTTGAGACATAATCAACAGCTGAGACCACATCTAAAAATCTGACAGCTGTTGTAAAGAGGACCTTCTGAGTTGTTCAGAAGAACACTGAGGCATCCTGAGACGCTCACTTAATGAGCTTCTGAGTCCCTTAAAAACACTGTGTAATAGATAGCCTCTTAATACAGAACTTTTTTAGTTTGGCCCTCGATCTCTTTGCTGCAGTAACCTCAAGTGAATCTGGAGTAAGGCCAATCACTGAGCCAGCCTTTCTGATTATTTTATTGATCCTGTCTTTATCATCTGCAGTGATACTGCCACCCAGCAAAGCACAGCATAGAACAGGACACTAGTTTAGATTCTGGATAAAAAACACGCGGAAGCATGTAAAAAAAAAAAAATCCGATATACTGCCCCTAATGTTCATGGGCTTAAGAGAATACTTCACCCAGAAATGATCTTTGTATATCAATTACTCATCACTTGTTGCCTTGAAATTGTGAAGAAAATGTTGTGCACCGCAAGATGCACAACACATCTATGTGGTGCGTCTTATGGACATGAAGATACACAGCTTTTTAAGCATGTGCAGAACCAACATTCAATAGAAAAGCAGGATATGTGAGGCAGCCATCATGTGCACACACATGCATGACGGCTAAGTACACTCACCTTCAGCTGAGTTAGTGTGAGGTTCAGGGAGGTTCCTTGGGGTCCAGGTGGGCCGGGTGGACCCTGACAAACAGAATGTAGTGAATACAGATGCTTTTGATGTGTGATTCCACACATTTCTGTTACTCAGTGCATAAAAACCTGTATCAGACTTTATTAGAAACTACTGAGGACCTTCTGTATACTTACAGGTAAGCCTTTCTCTCCAATAGGGCCTGGTAGTCCAGCATATCCTTTGAGGCCCTAATGAATCCAAAGCATCTAATTAGAAATATCGATTTTTCATCAGATTTCTCAGAAAACAACTGCAAAAGATGTGGTTTTGGATTTACCCACCTTCTTCCCAAACAACCCCTAAAAACAGAAAAGCACAGAAGTGGTTGTTAAGAGTGATCATCATATTTTCCAACACCAGAGCAGTTGTTATTGCTGACCAAAATATCAGGTACTTACAGGCAGCCCAGGCAGGCCTGGAGCACCTCCTCTACCTGGTTGACCAATATCCCCCTAGGAAATAATCAGTACTACTATATGATTATTAGAGCACGCTTCAGAGAGCAGAATGACTCACACCTGATGGTTTATTGAAAGCTTCTAAGGTGAATCCAAACAGGAAATGAAAAAATTTGAAAAACAACTCAGAATTGAATGTTAGGTTGTGCAGAAGCAGGTGCATTTTTACCATGTTGACATCACTCTTTGTTTCCAGAGATAGCTTAGTATTCTACGTTGATGAATGTCAAAACATAAGTGTGATATATTCTTGAACAATGGTCATGATTTATTTATTGTATGGATTGTTATGTATATAATTATGTGTAAAGCATGTTTTATGTTCGCTATTAGGTCCCCGGGGAGAGGTTCGCATACCAGAAAATGAAGTGGTCTCCCCTTTCACACTGAGTGCAAAGGCTCAGGAAGTTGTCACAATGCTTGGTTGCTCATCTCTGAATTTTTGTAACTAGGAGCCAACAGGGAAGACTGTACACACAGTGACGTAAATACACAACTAGATCATCTGTATTTGAACATTGGCAAAGCCATCTGCACCCCAAAAATAGCATTTAGTATAGAGTACAACTGAAGACCGAAGGTCAACTTTACATCACTAATTTTACATCAATTTATAATTTCTTACACTGGAGTATGTATTGTTCTGCTTCTCCCACGTCACACACACAAATTCCGTTGTGTGCAATATATTTCTTGCCTTTAGCACAGTTTAGCGCCACCTACTGGCCTTGTTATATATCAGCAAAAAATCCAATACCATGCATCCCTAATTTATACATATCTTTTTCTACTTTTATACATATATATCACCCTACATTATTATATATGGGACTTATAACGTTTATCTTTTGTATTGTTTGACAGTTTTACACCACTTCCATTAAAATGCCTAAAGCCAGCTCCTGTCTTGGGTCCCTTATGGGAGAGCGTTAACCTCTCTGCATAGCTACTTATGCAAATGTGTATTGAGGCCAGAAAACGTATTGTGACTTCTTATTGTGAGGAAAGTTGAGGTGAATTGTAATGTCTGCTGGTGTTGTGTTTAATGTGACACAGCGTTACTTTACCTGCTCTCCCTTTTGACCAGCTCTTCCGGGCTCCCCAATAGAGCCCTGCATTCCCTGAAACAACAATATGATATATTGTACATAACTGAGCACACATAAAAGACAGCACCAAGAAGTTAGGTCTATTGTTTAAGGAAGCTTACACAGAAAATGATATCTATACATAGGCTTACCTTTAACCCATCTCTGCCAGGAGGGCCAGGTGGTCCCATAGCCCCAGGTTCTCCCTACATAGTAAGAAATACAGAGTGTACTCTCTAAAAATCAGAATGATAGTTGATACAATATAACAGCCTGTAAAAGTGGGAGACTAGAAACAGTCTACATTTATTTAGTCTCTGTATTAATGGTTTGTTCTGATGTAGACATCCAGCTATATGATGACGATATACTGACTTATGTACATGGCTGCAAAAAACTGCCAGATGCCTTTATTCTCAAGGTTGGGCGCTGGGTGCTACCATTGTTCCTACTCTGTGCCAGTTTTTCAGGGCAGTAGATTTAGACTGATATTTCCAGAAGAAAGGGAAGATATCTACCGGCTCTGATTGGTTGACTTTTAAGACCCCAAGATAAACTCTGTTTGATTGAGTTAAACTTTGTTTATCTTTGCCTTAAAGAACAAGGCCAAAGGCCCAGGTGTAAAGCAAAGGCTTATCGACTGGATGATATTTTCCAGATACAGATCACAATTAAATGAGAGATGTAAATGGGACCAGAGTAGCACCTTCAGTCAGTCAGGAATTTCTTTAACGGAGTCAAAAGAATGAAATTCTATTGTTGTGCATGACAATGTAAGTGAACATTAGGTTATTAATTGTGTTGCAATCTGCTGCTATCTTGCACATATTAATTTCATTAGGGATGCACCGAAATGAAAATTTGTGGCCGAAGCCGAAGCCGAATATTATTAAACGCTTGGCCGAATACGGAGTACCGAATACTGAATATCATTGTTTAGTTGTTGATTAGTTTTTGCAGATGAACCCCCTCCAGATTAGTGTTTTCGCGGTATCAAAATTGGATCCCACTGTGCGATACCAATGAAAATATCACGGTTCTGAGTAGTATCACGATACCACAGCGAAAATGAGGCAGATGTACCTTTTGTCATTTATGAAAAGATAAATCACTTTTCTATAATACATCAATGATATTTCAATGGAATAAATTACTTATTGACTTATTCATACTTCAAAAACAGAATCAGTAAGTGATTAACATAGGGGGGATCAAAATAAAATAAATAAATAAAATAAAAATCAACCAGCCACCCACCTCCCCTGACAAGTAAAGAACAGTCCCTAAAGTGCGGTGAGGTTTGTGGGCCGTTACTGCCAGAAAGAGAGAAATGTGAAAGGCTCGTTTCTCCTCTGACACGTCACATACCTGTGTTCGGCTGGCTTGGCTGTTCAGGTACTTTTGGGCAGTCATGACACCAAAAAGAGGATATTATTGGAACCGACTTCTCCGTCGCCCGGTAAGCCGATGGCTGCCGTATTTGACAGGAATACATTAACGTTACTGTCTGTGTCCCCCGTTCAACCCACAATCGGTGGGATTCACCTTTCGTTTCTGCTGCTGGTTGAAATCTGTAGGCTGCTCGCACAGCGGTGCTGAATGATTTAAGCCTATTTTGCTCGCTCAAAACTATTTTGTAGTCGCAAATGCGAGTGCCGTGACGGACGGATTGCCACACTGTCGACATTTTATTCCGCCCGTCACGGCACGCCGTTTGATTGCGTTATCAAAATGCCGCTATTATTCGGCCTTGCTTTTAACTTATTCCACCGAATACCGAATGTGTGTTTTTTTGCAATATTCGGCCAAATATATTCGGTTACCGAATATTCGGTGCATCCCTAAACTTCATTTATGCTGTTATTTGTTGTATTAGTGTATATTTATGGGGCCTTTTTAAACTTTGGCCATACAGATGACAGATACAAATTTAGCCCTATAGGCCATCTCTGGCTCAGGGTACAGTGCTTCTGTTGTCTGTTAATAAATGAGCATTGTCAATGCCAATAAACTACTAAAACAAATAAATAAATTCTAAAGGCCTACCTTTAAACCGGATCTGCCCATTTCACCTTTTTCTCCACGTGGACCAGATTCACCCTTTTGGTAAAGATTGTTGGAGAAGTGATCAATATTCATAATTTTGTTTTTACTAATACATTAACATTTATCAAAATGAAGTAGGATATATATATATATACAGTACAGGCCAAAAGTTTGGACACACCTTCTCATTCAATGCGTTTTCTTTATTTTCATGACTATTTACATTGTAGATTCTTGATGGTTTTTGCGACTCCACTTGGGGACACATTTAAAGTTTTTGCAATTTTCCGGACTGACTGACCTTCATTTCTTAAAGTAATGATGGCCACTCGTTTTTCTTTAGTTAGCTGATTGGTTCTTGCCATAATATGAATTTTAACAGTTGTCCAATAGGGCTGTCGGCTGTGTATTAACCTGACTTCTGCACAACACAACTGATGGTCCCAACCCCATTGATAAAGCAAGAAATTCCACTAATTAACCCTGATAAGGCACACCTGTGAAGTGGAAACCATTTCAGGTGACTACCTCTTGAAGCTCATGGAGAGAATGCCAAGAGTGTGCAAAGCAGTAATCAGAGCAAAGGGTGGCTATTTTGAAGAAACTAGAATATAAAACATGTTTTCAGTTATTTCACCTTTTTT